AATAATTTCCTGCCCCATGATCAGCAATAGTTACAGTTCAATTTAACTACATCAACTATTATACTTTTATTTTTAATTAATTAATTAATTTTTATTGATTTTTAGAAAGAGAGGAAGGGAGAGGGAGAGAGAGAGAAATACTGATGTGAGAGCAAAACATCGACTGGCTACCTCCACTATCAGCCTTTTATATCTTTAAAAAAAATAAGTGAAAATTATAATTTCTTACCAAAATGTTAAGTATTTTCCAAATTTCAAATATTTGCTTCCCTGCTCTCCACCCCCTTGGGTTATTGGACGTTTCAAATAAACTAAAAATAACCACATCTCACCTGCAACATTCAACAACAATCACTTGATGCATAAAATTTTAGCTATGTCCCCAGTTATTTTAAGACACAAAAAATGGCTGTCTATCCATCTAATTCTTATAAGTTAGAAATACCACATTTAAGAATTAACATGAGAGTTTCAAATTTCCTCCAGTTTAGGCATTTATATCTTTGTTAAGCCATGTTAAGATTTCTTTTTTTAAAAAATATTCTCTAGAGGATATGTTGATTGATTTTTTTAGAGAAAGGGAGAGAGAGAGAAACATTGATGATAAAGAGAAATATTGATTGGTTGCCTCCTATATGTGCCCTGACTGGGGATGGAACTGATCTATTGCTAGGTATGTGTCCTGACCAGGAATAGTTCATGCAACTTTTTGGTATATAAGAGGACGTTCCCAACCAACGGAGCCACCTGGCCTGGGCAAGCCATGTTAATATCTTTTAATCACCAAACATACCTAACTCATTAAATTTTGAGTCCTTCTAATTTCATTTAGTATATTGCTGGTACTTGATAAATATTTGTGGAATGAGTGAATCCTTCTGTGATTCTTTTCTTTTCTTTTTAACTTTGGAAATGACTCCGTATTGGATGCATCAAGATTATGATACAAGATTATGAAAACCATAGCAAAGTCTTGGACAGTGCTGCTCATAATGAAAATGTTCTCTAATCGGCCCTGAACAACATGGAAGGCATTGCCCACAAGTCTGTATTGAGTACTTGACAGGAACTCGTCAGATGAAGAACTGGAGTTTACTAATAGCCTCTGTGGCTAGTGGCTGCCTATGGTATTGGATCTGGCAGGTCTATAGGTTTTATTAAATGTTTTCTGCCCCTCTCACTTTGTTTTTGAAAGTAGCTATTTTGATTGATTCCATCATGCAAATTGTCCCCTTGAATGGGAGTTTGACCGCTTGATATGATGTGAGCTGACCACCAGGGGGCAGCGCAGAACATGGTGGGCGTCAGTCAGTGGGCAGCAGTGGAGGCACTGCCGGCACTGATGGGCCTCGAAGAGAGCAGGACCTTGGTGAAATGGTGGAACATGTGAGTGGGCGGCACCAGGCCAAGGTGGGTGCAAGTGGGGGCCCGATCGCCCCACTGGTCGCCCCACAGATGGCGACCAGCAGCCATCAAGCCCTGATCTCCCAATTGGGGTCAGCCCCAGGCTGGGATGGGGAACTGGGGGTGGGTGGCAGCAACCAACCTCCTGTGGCCCCTGGGCTGGGGCTGTGACCTCTTGCTGACTACCTGGGGATGGGGGTGATGGGACAGAGGTGCAGTGGGAATGTGGGGTGTCTGCGGGCTTGGTCTCACTCCCCCTGCTATCCTCCCTAGGATGACAGGGCTTCATTGTGGGAAAGCCACCCCCCCCCCTCGCACTCAGATGCCAGATGCCTATGAGGAGCCCACATGGCCTCTTCTGGATGAGCCAGGCCACAGCTGCTGGGACCACAGGGGCCAGTTGGGCTCCCCATGGGTTCACGCAGGAGCTGGTCTGAAAGGCAGGTTAGGAGAGAGCGTACTGCCTGGCCAGGTTCTGTGCGGTGCCACTGGGTGGCCCAGACGCCCTCACTGCACCGCCCAGCTCATCGCATCTCTGCGTGGGGACTCGGGCACCGTGACTCAGGAGGGGGGTTCACAGGAGTCTGGGGGCCCAGGTGCTGCCCAGGGCCCAGAGGTCAGTTGGGACCTGCCCTTCCATGCCAGATGCTCGCGCTTTGATCACCAGGGACAAACATGGTAATTGACTGTACCTTTGCTACGCCTCCCATTGGATAATCAGTGCGATATGCAAATTAACTGCCAACAAAGATGGCGGTTAATTTGCATAGTGCAGGCAGGGCGGGGCAGCGCCATCCCGCCTGCCCCGCGCCATCTGGGCCTGCTATCTGCGACCCAGGGCGGCAGGCATCTGTGTGTGACCGGACCCGGGGCGGCTGGGTGGGGCAACAGCGATTGGCCATCCCGCCCAGGCGTCCCGTGTGTGACCCAACTCAGAGCGGCGCCCCAACCCCCAGATCGGCCCTGCCGTGTGCCCCACCCAGTGTGGTGCCCCAACCCCCAGATTGGCC